TTTTCTAAGTTCTGACTCCTGCTGCTGATGTCGAATTTTACATAGCCACCCTGGGCTCAACTGAAGATGCATCAAAAGTCTTGCCCAGAAGCTGCTGGAGTCCAGATGGGATGAAACATGAAACAAGTTTAATCTAAGCCCAAGCAAGACTTGGGTTACTATTTGTTCATCATGGTTCTGGGCCAGTTCCAGTGATTTCTCTCAAAGGGGTTGCATAGCTCTTGAGATCAGGAGTCCTCCTTGACTCATGACTATGCTAGATAGGCAGAGGAGGCCATAACCAAAAAACCTTTTCCTGGCTTCCTCTAATATGTCTTCCCACTTCCAGGAGTAGGGCCTGGCTGCAATATCTCATGACCTACTACCATTTGATTAGATTTCTGTAATGCACTTTTCACAGAGTCCTAAAGGTGTTTTTCCAAAAGGTAACTGGACTTTCTTGGGTTTTTTATCCTCTTGAAAATGTTTCGCTTCTCATCCAAGAAACGTCTTCAGTTCCTCCTTGTAAGAAAATTCAGAACTGAAGAAGCTTCTTGGATAAGAAGTGAAACATTTTCAAGGGACAACCAAGAAAGTCCAGCTGGCTTTTGGAAAAGCACCTTTAGGAGAACCATGACCTGGACCACTTGAAAAGTTCAATTGGTTCAAACTGAAGCAGCCTGCTTATTGTCTGGCACTAACTGCTCGGAGCATATTACATGTAATTGGCTTGACCTGCATTGATTGCCAATAGACTATGACATGCTCTTCAAACACTTAGTTCTCACTTGTAAAATCCTATCTGGCTTGGCACCTAGATGTTTCCATGACTGTTTACCATCACAAGATTCAGCCTGACAAAGGTGATCCTCCCCCCAAAAGCTGCATATTTGTATGAGGTGAAGGGGACTCGTGCTCCAAGGTTCTGCTTTGCTGTTATTGTGTCTACAATACATCATAGAGTAGAGTAGAATAGAGTAGAGTAGAGCAGAGCAGAGCAGAGCAGAGCAGAGCAGAGCAGAGCAGAGCAGAGCAGAGCAGAACAGAACAGAACAGAACAGAACAGAACAGAATAGAATAGAATAGAATAGCTCTAGAAATGAGGCAGTTCTCTCCCAGTGATGGCTTTCTGGAAACTTTGAAAGGCTGAACATTGCAAGAGAGCCTTAAGAAATGATTGCAGTTGTTACTTCTTGGCTATCTATTTTTTATTGTCGCATATATAATCATTGCTTTAATCGTCAATTTAATGTTTTATTTTAATGTTTTATTTTTCCTGCATATTTTAGTGCATTTTAATAGGCTGCAAGCCAACATGAGTCATGAAGTTTGGGTGGCATACATGTTTGATAAATAAATCCAGGAAATAAATCAGTCCCGGAGAGTTGGAGGGAGTGTAGCAGAGGTGGTATTCTGCAGGTTCTGACCAGTTCTGGAGATCAGGTAGTGGAACTTTGGAGTAGTTTGGAGAACCAGTAAATACCACCTCTGACTGGCCCCGCCACCATCTATTCTTTGCTTCCCCAGTCCCAGCTGATCGGGAGGGAATGGGGTTTTTTCAGTATCCTTCCCCTGCCATGCCCACCAAGCCACACACCCCATGCAATGCCTCACCCACCAAGCCACACCCACAGAATAGTCGTAAAAAAAATTGAATCCCACCACTGGAGTGTAGGGAGCTGTGTAATTCATTTGCCCTCTGGTAAATGAGTGAGCTTTGATTGGCAATGGCCCTTTGACAACTATTTTGTCAATAGACAATCCCTCTCCCAGAGTAGTCATTTTATGATCAAAATCTCTGTGTGCTTCTCAGCTTCCAGAAATTGCCTACCTCCCATTTGCACAATCTAAACTCCTGCATATTATTACATAGGAGAGAATCCCACTGATTTCTTTGGGGATACAACATGTACTTCCCCCAGCATGTCTAAAATAAATTAACTGATGCATCTGCTTGCACAATGTAGATATGTAAAAAAACTGTGTATGTCTGGAACAAAGTCAAAACTTGATCCCAAATCCCTCTTCAAGTTTCAGATCGATATTTCAGGAGCAGAGGTGTCTGATTTAGTATCTCTCAAGAAATAGTCTGCACATCCGTTGACCTACCGGAAAGTGGTGATGAAAAGTCCTCCAGAGCTTTTAGAATCAGATATGTCCTCTCCTTTTGTGTTATCTCCCCAGCCTCCACTTAAGTTAGCAATCAGTAGCATTAGCAAAAAAATAAAAATAATTGCCTGCCTTGGTTTGTCCAGCTGAGATCCATCTTTGGGTAATGGTTGGTTTGTTCAGGATGCTTTTTGCACTCTTGACAGGAGGCAGCTGCTTGGCTCTTATGCCTGCACTTGGCAGCCTCTAAAAAAACACATTTTTCTATAATTTGTTATGTAATATTTGTTCTCCGTGGGCCAAAAATGCAAACGCCACTGTAATAGATGGGGTTCATCTTTTATCCTCCCTACTGGGTTTTCTCTCTTAGAATGAAACAAGGCAAGGAAAGCATGCAGGTTATAGCTTCTGGAATTGTGTCCAACCCAGGAGTGAAATCGAGCAGGTTCTGACCAGTTCTGGAAAACCGATAGCGGAAATTTTGAGTAGTTTGGAGAATCGGCAAATGCCATCTCTGGCTGGCCCCACAGTAGGGTGGGAATGGAGATTTTGTAGTATCCTTCCCCTCCCATGCCGACCAAGCCATGCCCATAGAACCAGTAGTAAAAAAAAATGAATTTCACCACTGGTCCAACCCCTTCACCAACAGTGGTTATAAGAGGCATTTGTACTTCCTTCTATATACCCTCTCTATCTGTGTTGAGAGTATGTCTACTCTCCCCTTATGCTGTGTCTGGCTGCATTATGAGGCATAGAGCTGCTTGCAAACACTCCTCTCCAGGTCATGTGACCAGTGGGCAAGGACCTAGAATGGCATAGTGACTAACATTCCAATTGTTTTTTCAATCTTTTCTGGAAGACCTCTAGTGATAGAGCACTAACAACCCCAGGAGGCATGCTAGTCCGTTGCTTAATTGTTCTTATTGTCGGGAAATGTTTCCTTAGTTCCAAATTGGATCTCTCTTTAGCAACCTTCCGCCCACTGCTTCTTGTCCTCTCCACAGGTACTTTTGAAAAATAAATCAACCCCCTCTTGTCTGGAACAACACTTCAAGTACTGGAAGACAGTAATCACATCATCCTTAATCCTTTTCTCTCTGAAGCTAGACATATCTAATTCCCACAACTGCTCATCATACAGTTTAGCCTGCCCATTCCTTATGATTTTTGTTGCTCCTTTCTATACCCTTTCTAGGGCCTCAGCATTTTTTTCCTGTATCATGGTGACCAGAATGGGATGCAGTATTCCCTGTGTGGCCTCACTAGTGCATTATAGTGTACTATCACTTCTTGTAATCTTGATGCTCTCTCTCTCTCTCTGTTGATGCAGCCTATGATTGCATTGACTTTTTTTGCTGCTACAGAACACTGCTGGCTCATATTTAAGTGTTGTCCACTAGGACACTAAGATTCCTATCGTACTTACTACTGTTGAGCCAGATATTGTCTGTTCTCTACCTGTGTTTTTGTTTTTTTCCTGCCTAAGTACAGGACCTTAACTTTCTCACCACTGAAGAGCATCTTGTTGGATAGGGCTCAAAACTCAAGTCTGTCAATATTTTGATTTTGGGATTACCTGCCTTACCTGTAAGGCTAGTACTGCAGTGAACCTGAACCAGGGATTTTCAGCCCACAGCTCAGGGATCTTGCTAAAAGATTGCTTCTTTATGATGTAGACGCAGATTAAGAAAAAAGCTTTAATTGGAAGTTCCCTTGCAAAGGCTCCTTCTTGATGCTTGACCTGCAGACGGCTAACAGACTCTTCCAGCTATTTTGAGCCTTGCAGCCAATATTGACAGGGTGGGCTGACCCTCAATGACTAAAGAGAAAATGGATGAGAAGGAAAAGTTGTTGTTGTTGCTGCTGTTGTTGATTTGGTTGTTTTTGTGCACTGAGTCAGGGTTGACTCCTGGCAACTGCCTGGACTAGTCCCTGAAATTTTTTAGGCAAGGAGTTGTTTTTCCTTGTCTCCTTCCTTGGGATGAGAGAGTAACTAGCCCAAGATCACCCAATTGATTTTCTGCTACGGCAGCACTAAAATTCAGTTTCTCAATTACCAGTTTGGTGCCTTAATCATTACACTCATTTCCATTGGCCACTTTAAGATGTATGGACTTCAACTCTCAGAATGCTGGTTGGAGGATTCTGGAAGTCAAATCTTCAAGTTCCCAAAGTTGAGGAACAGTGCACATTGGCTCTATAGTATCTAGTTAAGAACACTTTAATTCCTGTGTTTGCATGGGACTTAATTATATTCCTAGATATAGTCCTTTGGGATTGCGCGGCATACAAATCTATTAAAAATTGCAAAAAAAAAAAAAAAAAGATCTCAACAGATGTATGGGTGAATGTGAATGAATGATCTTCTCCTTTGAGTTCTGATTTCATTTTATTATTTCATTCAATTTCTATCTTGGAACAGAGCTTCGACACCATGGTGCTAACTTTTGGGGACTAGGATTTCCTGGGCCATGGCCTGTTCTGAGAGAGCAAAGTGCTAAGGCAGAGCCTGTCTGCCTGTGACTTGTCCTGTCTGATCTGAACACTTTTCCTGAGGTGTGTATCATGACGGAGGGGGGTGGTCGGGAACTACACCTGTGTGCTTAGAAGAGTGATTGCCAGGTTCTGAACTTCTTAAGCTGATCTCCGTCAGCAGTGACAAGAGCTTTGGAGCAGAGCTCCCAGCTTTCAGGTCTCAGCTGTGATAAACTAGGCTCAGATCACTTGATCCTTGGAGTGTGTGTTGGCATTTCTGCTCCCCTTAAGTTCAGGATTGTTGCTCTGTTGCTGATGGGGAAAATTCAGAGGGGGGCTTTTCAGTGGATGTGCAGCCGAGAGCATCAGCAGTGGGTGTTTCCAGCATCCTTGAATGCTGCCTCCTGCTGCCTTTACAAGAAGGCAGCTCTCAGGCAATGGGGGTGGACAGGCGGCAGAGAGCCTCGGCAGCCCTCTCGCTCGGCTTCCTCTCTTTAATCTTCTCTATCACAGCCTTCAGCAGCAGCTACTGGTGTGAAGGAACCCAGAAGGTAGCCAAACCATTCTGCAATGGACTCGCAGGTGGCACCCACTGCATTGGGATGAACAGCCCAGGTGGGAATGACAGCAGCGTGGTTCAGTACATCTGGGAGACGGGAGACAACAAGTTTGTGGATCGAAAGTTTCATGCCGGTATTTGGCATTCTTGTGAAGAGATGATCAGTGGGAAAGGTGAGTGCCTTTCTTCTGGGAAACAGTCTTCCTCCTCCTGATTTTCTTTGAAAGAAAAGATAATTGTGTCAATTCTTTCACGTTTTGGCTGGGTGGCTGTGGTGCAACCAAGGTTACAACTGCAAGAAAAACGCCCCCTCTGGAATGAAGCATGACTCCTATTAACTCCTTAGCTTATAGCTACTATAGCTCTGTGTGCAACTTATGAAAGTAATTTGGTATTGTCTTCTTCTGGATATATTTTTACACCCCAATATAATTTATGATTTCTCAGTGGTCTCCCATCCAAGTAATAATCAGATTTGTTGCTGCTTGATTTTTCAGGATCATCCAGTCAGATTGCTGTTTCCACTTGGCAAAAACAATGTTCAGATTTTAGCTGTTTCATTTATTTTTTAAGCCTTACTCTTCCAATTGTATAATGGAAGCATTTCTTTACATATGACTTACAACCTATTTATAAACAAGCTGTTAAATTTCACACATTGTGTTAGTCTATAATGTGATTTGATTTGGCTTTGCATGTTACAGTACAAGGTTTTTCACCTATGATTTATGTGCTAAAACACGTAATTGTAACCATGGTGATTTGATCAATAAATTGGGGATAAAACAAACCATGGCTTAGCACATATCTAACCAATTCTAAAATAATCTTCAAAGTCTATGAAATGCTTTAAGGGAGGATACAATATATTACCCGATTGCATCTGTTGCAAAGTTATTTCCCAAAGCTGTGTTGATAATTATTGCTCATCCCTTTAGGCAATTCACAGATCAAAATTCTCCTGCTATTCTAATATGGGGTTGGAAGGGGGAGAAAGGATTACAGGGATTAAAATGATTTGTTCCATATTCTCCTTATTCAATACAAGAAGGGGCATCATAGAATGCTATTTGGAGAGAAATGGGCCCATTGCCTGATTTGGCAGAAACTACACAGAGCCTTAAACTCCAGTCATAATAAATATTTAGACTTTAAAGGGCTCTAAGACACTCTATTGTTTGCAAAGAATACAGCAGAGTTAACACTAAAATGAATAGTATTTGGGTGGAAAAGAAGTAATTAAATCTCATAATGTTATCTATTTCACCCAATTTATAAAATAACTAGAAAAGTGTAACCTTTAATGGGATAGGTAGTTATATAAATCTTTTTAATAAATAAATAAAAGAAGTTAAAAAAAAGTGGGATAGAATTTTTTTTCACTTTGTTTCCAATTTTAGGATACACACAATCACACATACAGACACTTTTATGCAGAATAATAATTGGTGTTAAATCTGGGGAATTTGGAGAAGCTTGCATTTTAAAATACAAGCTCCTCCAAATACAGCATATGATTGAAAAAGATAACACCTTGTTTCCTTATTCAGAAGTTTGGGACCACCAGTAAAGATGGATTCTGGGAGAATCAGGGTAATTGCCTTTCATCTATATTAGTAAATAAGAGGGAGTTGTTGACACTATTCATCATTTTAATGCGTGAAGAATATAATAGCTTTTATTAGGTATAAAGATTCATCACATTCCTTTATTGGGTATATGGATTCTTCAGACTCTACACATTTACCAAAACATTAGCAGAATGATTCAAATTATAACTGAGCAGAATAGGAAACCTGAGTAGGCAGCCAAGGACAGAATTAATGTTGCAGATCAAATGCGGGATTTCCAAACCTTTATTTTATCTTCAAATAGAGGCTGAGTAAAAGACATTAAACTGTAATGGTCACTGACAATTGCCGCACAGCACCCTTTTAGTTACCTGTAATTGTTTTTCCTGAGCAAGAATAAGTCTGTTTATGAGGACAGGTGGGGGAATGAAAAGCACACATATAGATGAAAATTAGGTTTGGAGAAGGTTTCAGGCTGATTTTTCTTTGAAAACTGTGGTCATCTCCCTCTCTTGCCTTGCCTTAGATATTAATATAAGATATAGATACAGCTTATATCCAAAAGTTTTGGAACTGCCATTTGCTGAAATGATCTTCCTCTCACCCCCCCCCCCCCAAAGCATAGAATGGGAGCCATAAGGTCACCTCTTGTGTGACCATACAAGGGCTAGTTGGCCTCTGGAAAGCCTTCCCCTGTGAGCATCAGCCCTACTGGAGAAAACTGATCCATTTTACAGGATGGTAGTACTGAGATTCCTAAGGAAATGATATTAAAATGCACTGAGCCCTCGGAATGTGCTCTTATGAATGCTGTGCCTTACTTATTTGTAGGAGGGAAGCAAAATAAATCTTCCACCGTGTTTACTTTTAATGAAAAGGGGTCCTCCATTTTCAAGTAATTGAATAAAATAAATAAGGTTTTGCTCCCTGAGTTCATGTCCAAACTGTAGCCTCTGGAGACATGACTGACTGCCAGCGTGGGTTTCCTGCCATTTTTAAGCTTGTAACAATAAAAGTATTATGGGTCAATTCTTTACCTCAGGTTAGAACAAACAAATTCCTGAAATTTATCTGCCTCAAACGAAAAAAAAAGGATACCCTTGTTCCTGCCAATGTGATGTGTCTCTCCCTACTTCATTTCTAATTCTCTGTGCTTCTCACCCCCACTATGAAAAAGCTGACCTCTCTTGCTGAATGAATATATGGCAAACCCATCTTACTCATGGTGCTACATAAATCCTCCCAAAGAGAAGATTCTGAAGGTTTTGGCTCCACCCACTCTTGAGATAATTATATGGGTCACAGATGAGGTGCTGGAAGCCAGTTGTTAGTCCTGCCCTGAGAGCTCATTTTCTTTCTGCTGGTTTGCAGTCAGCCTTCATTGCATGCCTGAAGATGGAAGCTGCATCTCACTATTAGTATTGCTAGTCTTACAACTTGGTTTCTGGCCCATGAATCACAACGGCTTCCTAGTTTTGTTATCTTTTTAAACATTAGATCTGATTTTCATCAGGATGGTGAATTATTACACCAAAACACCCAGGTCAGTTGCTTGTTTCTGCAAATTGTCTGTTGTTGGCATCCACATATCTGCTCTTATTTCTTTGAGTCCAAGCTGCATCATGCATTGGCAATCATTGTGAAAATGCAACATATTTAACAGTTTCTACATTCTTCAAAGAAGTGTTTTATACTTAGTGCCTGTATTATTTCTGAATCTCCTTGTATCACACGTACAGGAAATGCTTCAGAAAGTGCAAAGGAATTTTGATCTGGCTTCCAAAATGGGGTGGGGGTGAAACCATTACTGAGCCCTGAGAAGAAAGAAAATGTGAGGCTCAAAACCACCCTGCCTTGATCTTATTCTCTTTAAAAAAAAGTGGTGGACAGCAAAGGTTATGGACAGGCTTTCCAAATTCTGTTATTATAGCTTACAACAATAAAGTAGCATCACTGGAATTCCAGTAGTATCTGTTTCTTGACCTGGCCTGTCTCAAAGCAAATTTCATATCAGAGTCTGCTCAAGAGGAGATGTTTTTCACAGCAGGTACTGTATATCTCTCTCTTGGGACTGGATTGGCAAGATTAGAATTACCCAAACTGGAAGGATTTATACAATGATTTACCTAAAGTTTTCTCCACACTCCATTCCATTCTAAACAGTATTCTACTGAGTCACTCCACAGGCAAGTGGTATGATCATAGGTTAGTGCAATACATTTGTGCCTATAGCACAAGGCTCACCCACTTTGATTTTCAGATGATTCGAGCTACAAGATAAAATAAGCAATGCTAGAAGAGACAACATCATCCACTTCACCAAAGGACAGTAAACTTAGAAACCGCCTACTGCAGAGGTAACACATAGATTTGTCCATCAGAAGACTGACTGCTGCTCTCCCTTCTATATATTCTAATAGTAAAGCAGTTGTAACAATCTGAGTTGAATCATTACAGTTGTAGAGAGAGAGATTTTGTAGTAAGGGGCAGAGAGAAAAATTGGACCAAATTCTGGAATTGAAAAAAAAGGTTTCGGCCCCAGATTTGGCAACAATTACAGCATATTCAGCTGTTAAATCAGAAGAGAAAGCAAATGGCTAAGAGAACTTGAAGAGGTTTAGAGAAAGGGAAGAGGTTCAGAATTGCAGTAACTTTTCTAGGGAGAGAAAGTCACTGAGAAAATTAGAAAAGTAAAATAAGAACAAAGGAGCTATGACACGAACTCTTCAGCATTGAAAAAGTTTCATCCATGAACTCCAAAACCTAATCTATGGAAAAATCAAGATTAAAGTACCCACAACTAAAGGTTGTCTAGCCTCCGAATAAACACATACAGTGATATGTGGTCATATCGCCCACAGCACTTAAACCAACATTTCCCTTTTTGTTATTATTATTTTATTAAAAATATTTTTTATAAAAAAAATACAAAGATTAAAAAAAAACCAATACAAACTAAGGAAATATAAAAAAGAAAAAAGTAGAAAGGGCAAAGAGAAAAGAAAAAGTGGGGAAGGGAAAATACATTTTAAAAGAGATAATAAAAGAAATATAGAAAGAAATGACCCCCCCCCTTCATCAATACAAGCACAAACACTATCTTAACACCTTCTCTAATGCTGCAACTAAAAAAAAGGTCACCCCAAATCTCATCTTTTATCTATTGGCAAATAATACAGTCGCATTTTGCAGTTAGCAAAAGATACCAGAAATAACAACTCTCTTTCCCTCTCTCTCTCCCTCTCCCTCTCTCCCTCCTACCCTCCCCCATCTCTCTATAATCCCTTATTATATACCCTTCAAATAATGTCCAACAAAATTTATTTCTTATTATCTTTTCTTCCTCACCTCTCAATTTTAATACCCTAGCTTGTCACTTTCTCTAAGAATACAACAAAAATTCTCTTCTTCCCATATCTTATCTACAACAACTCTTAAAAGCTTCATCATACAGTCGTAGTCAAGAAAAGCTGTTAGGGAAAAAGAAGCATACACAGTCTAGCCTTGATCAAATCAGCCAACTTTGTAAACATTTATTTTATTTTTAAAAGTCTTGATATTTATCGTTTCAAGTAATGTTCTTTTTTCTCTCTTTTCCTTTTCTCAGGAATTATTTCATAAATATAATACATCTCTTTGGATTTACTTTGGATTTATAATACCTTTACTTTGGAAGTAAGAAATTTGTCCAAGTCACTTTTCTGAATTAAAACATACTTCTCCAAGTCACTATTTTGGCTTATTATTTGGGTGTCCTTTTTAAACTGATAAAACTCCAGTCAATTTCATTTGTTACTCCTATATAACTTCCTTGTCAGTATTATTCTTGCATCCTGTCAATTTTAAATCTGAATCCAAACCAGTCTGACTGTCTGTTATATTTTCTTCTATTTCTTTTTTAAGCCCATTCTTACTGTATGCGACAGTCTAAAAAGTAAGTTCTAGGCATATTGTTATGAAACATCCTTGAATGTTTCCAGAATTAAAATAGTTTTTTCCATTTTGTATTAGTAAATCTTTTCCTTTAGTTATAATCTTTAATTTTTTTAGTTGCTTCAAGTAAAGAGCCTTCACAGTTTGTTTGTTTGTTTGTTTGTTTATTGGATTTATATGCTGCCCTTCTCCCAAAGGACTCAGGGCGGCGTACAACATAAAAAAAACAACACATATTACAAAAGTTAAAAAGAAAATTAGATAGAGTATCCAAAAACAAACCCAATTAGTATTAACAATAACATTTAAAATATTAGATTAAAATTAACAATTAAATCAATCATTTATTTTATTTTGTTCAGGCCAGGCCGGCTTGCTGGAAAAGCCAACTTTTTAGAGCGCGTCGGAAGGACCGGAGGTCGGGGATTATGCAAAGCTCTGGGGGCATCTCATTCCAGAGGGAAGGAGCTCCCACAGAGAAGAGCCAAGGTGGCGCAGTGGTTAAATGCAGCACTGCAAGCTACTGCTAGATCAGCAGTTCAGCGGTTCAAATCCCACCGTCTCAGGGTTGACTCAGCCTTCCATCCTTCCGAGGTGGGTAACAAGTTGG